CGTGCGAGTGTGTACTTTCCCCATTATCTTTAGCGTTCGTTGAGGGGCTTAAGTTTAATCTAGAATGCGCAGGAGAACTTTGGTGGACCATCTCGGGAGAGCATGCGAAAGTGTGTTTATACAAGGGGCAGGCGGAGAAGAAACGGAGAGGGGAGAGGGAGAGGGGAGAGAGGAGAGAGGAGAGGGAAGAGGGGAGAGGTAAGAGGAGAGGTTAGAGGAGAGGGGAGGGGAGAAGAAGGAAGAGGGGAAGGGAGATGGGGAGAAGGGAGAGGGAGAGGGGAGGTAAGGAGGAGAAGAAGAGGGAGAGGTAGGGAGATAGAGGGATTAGAGGGAGAGGGGAGGGGGGAAGAAACGGAGAGGGGAGAGGTAGGGAGGGATAGAGGGTTATAGGGAGAGGGGAGGCAAGGAGCAGAAAGGAGAGGGGAGAGGTAGGGAGGATAGAGGGTTAGAGGAGAGGGGAGGCGGAGTGGTAAGGAGGATAGAGGGTTAGAGGGAGAGGGGAGGTAAGGAGGAAAGGAGGGGGAGGCGGAGAAGAAAAGGAGGGGAGAGGGAGAAGGGGAGGCGGAGAAGGAAAGGAGAGGGGAGAGGGAGAGGGGGGGCGGAGAAAGAAAGGAGAGGGGAGAGGTAGGGAGAGGGAGGGAGAGGTAGGGAGGAGAGGGAGAGGGGAGGCAAGGAGGAGAGGAAGAGGGGAGGCAAGGAGGAGAGGGAGAGAGGAAACGTAGGGAGAATAAGGAGAGGTGAAAGAAAGGGGGAGTTAGGAAGGAGAAGGACGGGGGAAGAGGGAAGAGGTAGAGAGGAGAAGGAGAGGGGAAAGAGGAGGAGGAAGGGAAGGCAAAGAGGAGGGGGAGAGGGGAAGGAGGGGAGGTGGGGAGGAGAAGGAGAGGTGAAAGAGGAGGAGGTAGGGGGGAGAAGGATGGAGGGAAGAGGGGAGAGGTAGTGAAGAGGAGGAGAAGGGAAAGAGGGGAAAGTGAGGATGATAAGAAAAGGGGTAGGAAGAGAAGGTAGAGAGTAGGGGGAGAAGAGAGAGGGAGAGATAGAGAGGAGGAGAAGGAGAAGGAAAATAAAGGAAAGATGGGGCATGCAGGGAAGAGAGACAGAAAAAGAGGGTAAGATAACAGGCAGGAATAAGGAAAGAAAGAAAAGAGAGTAGGCGGGGAGAAGGCATGAAGGCAGCCAAAGATGGGTAAGAGTGGGGAGGGAGAGACGGGGAAGGGAGAGAGGAGGAGAAGGAAAAAGATTATCTCTCCCTCTCTCTCTCTCTCTCTCTCTCTCTCTCTCTTTTTTTTTTTTTTGGTTAAGCCTGAGCTGAAAGGAGTGTTGCACATGAACTAATGCATATGCGAGGGATGAGTCAACTGCCTACCTCCTCCCCCTCCCCCGCCCCACAACCCCACCGCCCACCCCCCTCCCCCTCCCCCGCCCCCGCCCCCTCCCCCCCCCTCTCGCGGTCTCATGCATAACCTCACAGAGCGAAGCCACACACAGCATGGCAAGAAGGCAACTTGGCCGTACATCTTTTCTCTTTTTTTCCCCTCTCTTTCTCTCTTTTCTCCCCTCGTTTATTCCATTTCCTCTTCTTCCTCCTTTTTTATGCGGTTCCTTTCTGTTTTTCTTTTCTCTTTTTTCGTCTTTTGTATCTTTTCTTCGTTTTTTTCTATTATTTTTTTTCTTTACTCTTATTTCCTTCTTTCTGTTCTCATCGTAATCTTTTTTTCTCTGTCCTTCTCTTTTCTTCTTTCCTCTTCTCTCCTTCCTCCTATCCACCCATTCTTTAGCAATCCCTCTCCTTCTCTCGATGATTTTCCTCTTCCATCCTTTCTCTTCCTCTTTTCTTTCCTTTTTTCTTAATCCCTTTTCTTCCTCTTCCCGGCTTCTTTCTCTCTCTCTCTCTCCTTTCCTAATTTTCTCTTCTTCCCTCGTTCACCTCTTTCCTCCTTGCCTATTTTACTCTTCCTGTCGTGTATTTCTCTCCACCCCAAACCTCCCTTATCCCCTCTTTACCCCCTATTCCCTCACCCACTCCTCTTACTTCCCTCTCATCTCCCTCCTCTCCTTTTCCTCTTTCTCATTTCCCCTTTTACACTCCTTCTCCTTCCTTCTTATCGCTACTTCCTTTCACCCGTCCCTCTTTCCCTCTATTCTCCTCTCTCTCCTCCCTTCTTTACCCTATCTCCCCTCATCCATCCCTCTTCTTCCCTTCCTTCATCCATGCCTCCTCTTTTCCCCTCTCTCTGCAACCTCTCGCCCTCTCTCTCCCCATCTCACTTCACCCACCCTCATCCCTCTCTCTCCCCCACTTCCTTTTCCCTCACTCTCACCCCAACCTCCCCACCCCTCTTTCTCCTCATCTTCTCCCTTCACCCGTCTCTACCCCCCCCTCTCTCTCTCTCTCTCACCTCCTCTTCCCCTCTCCCTCCTTCCCAATCTCCCTCGCCTGTCTCCCATCCATTCCTCACCGCCCCCACCCCCTCTCTCTCTCCCTCACCCTCCATCCCAATCT